GAAGGTAAACAAAGCTGGACGTTTGTAGCTAAGAAACAGGAAATAACATCAGCACAAAGAAACGTAGCTATGACTTAGACCGGAGTAAATTAGATTAGATTAGATTAGATTAGATTAGATTAGATTAGATTAGATTAGTAACGTTGTTGGTCAAAGAAAACTTCTTTTTTCTGTCAGTTTCATACAATAGTTTAGTTAAATAAAGATCATGACTCAGCAAAAACAGAACATTTATATTAACAGGTTTCACTGTTACTGCTGATGCTGCTGCTGATGATGATGCTGTTCCTGCTGCTGTTACTGCTGCTGCTGCTGCTGATGCTGTTACTGCTGCTGCTGTTACTGCTGCTGCTGCTGCTCTTTAGTTTCATCATCATCGGCCTGTCTCCCCCTCTCTCTCTCTCTCTCTCTCCCCCTCCCCCCCCCTCTCCCCCTCTCCCCCTCTCTCTCTCTCTCTCTCTCCCCCTCCCCCCCCCTCTCCCCCTCTCTCCCTCTCTCTCTCTCTCTCTCTCCCCCCCTCTCTCCCTCTCTCCCTCTCTCTCTCCCTCTCTCTCTCTCCCTCTCTGTTTCATCTTTGTTTTCCTCTTATCAGCTGTGGTTTCACTTCTGTCTTTCTGACGTCTCTTTATTCACTGACACAGAGGAGAGTGACTGTGGTTCTGTGTCTGTGGTTCTGTGTCTGTGGTTCTGTGGTTCGGTGACTGTGGTTCTGAGTGAGGATCAGTCCAACACTGCCACTAAATCCCTGGTAGAGTTGAAGACGTCTTTCAGTCTGGAATATTGGGTTTAACCAGGAAGTGATGTTAAAAAAAGAAAATTAAAAACTTGTATTTGTTGTTAGCTTACGCTGTTGTTGTGTGGAGGGAAAAGGTAAAAGAACTGACAGATTGTTTCAGTCTCTTACTCAGCCTGGAGAACCGTCGTCATCGTTGTCGTTGTTGTCGTCGTCGTCGTTGTCGTTGTCGTCGACTCTGGGTTTTTTTTAGCAGCGCTAACGAGGAACCAGGGAACTGGTCTGATGCTAGTTAAAAATAATATTTTCCTCGTTTTTATTAATAAATACCTCCTTC